AAAAGGAATGGAGGAAAGGAATGAGAGGAAAGCGTAGTAGCAAAATCAGTGAAGACAGTTGTGGTCGATATGAGTACTGCGGGTTGTTATATTTGAGGTGACGTTATTGCAATAGTAAGCACTATTAGTGAGCTAGAAGTGACAAGGAGTTGGTGGTCTGTGTAGAATATACAAGTGTATTACCTCCTTGTATATGTTGTACAAACCAAATTTCAGCTGTCTTTGTCAGCACTGCCGAATCACCTGTGCATTAATTGTAATGATCAGAGTGTTCCCTAACTTGGTGGCATGAGTGGTGTCTGGGGCAGAATAGATTTATAAGCGATGAGTTGTAAAAAGGCAAGAAAGAATATTTGCAGGTGTGGAATCGAAGTGTAAAAATAAAAATGCATTATTTTAAGCCTTAGACATTACGTCTGTTCTTAAAGGGATGCATTCTTGATCGTGGTGATATGCTGATGGGTCAGTTGGTTGCAGTAGGAGGAGGACGATAGCATAAGTTAGGAAAAGAGGCAAACTAATGGATAAAACTGAAGTTGAGGTTGGTAGTTGCAAATGCTGTAATGAAAGCTCTCAAGCTGCTCTCATTTTCGTGTCAATTTCACGCATTTAATATGGCAGTACTTGCTTCTGTCTTGAAATGTTGAAATGTTGGCCTTTAGTCAAAAAGAGAGTTTCCTTTTATGGCTGTATTTACTTATAGATTAGACAATCTGCCAATGGAAATGAAGTGGATGAATGAGGTGTCAGTGATCGTAGAGAGACAGCCACTGAGTCTGGTACTACACGGCATAGTAAAAATAAAATTTCATTGCTGCTATTTTTTCAAACGACTTTTAAATTTCTATGCGAGGTCATATTGTGGCTGATTATTTTCACAGCACTGAAAAAGAGGCCCTAATTTGTCAACTAAGTAAATGTCACAATGAAGACCCTAAATTTTAAATGAATAAAATCATTTACAATTTAGTATTCATTAGCGACTAGAATGGATTTGGACGATTGACGTTATCACATGCTATATTTTTCTTTATGAGGCAAGCAACCATCAGTGTGTCTTTAATAAAACAAATCAACTTAAGTCTGACCTGATCCAAGCCTCTACTCTCTTAGACCCGTCAACTAATCTTAACCACACAGCAGTCGTACCATTGACGTATCATCAACGCAACAGGCGGCATTTAAATGCAAGCCAGATACTGCGGAGAGTCCCTTCAGTCGAAACACAGACACAAAACCATGCCTATATCCACATATTTAGGCGACTCTCTACATTAGAGATATTGAGGCTAAGACAAAACGAGGCCATCAGCCAATGCGTGGACCAACGAAGCAGCTGAACAGGAATTATGTTTATATACTTGAGTTGTGTGTACCTCGGTGGGATGGATGATGACGGGAGTTTTCATCTGTCCCAAAGGCGTGTCACCATTCACATTCAGGTGACAAATCACAGCGTAGTCTGAGCGTCTGTTGAATGTTAACATCTCTTGAGATAAACCGACACTGTACTGCTCCTGTAGGATCTAACATTTGAATGGTTCTCTCCCAGTGACTCTCTGGTCATGCATTTACTGGAGGCAATACTGCTACAGTTAACGGGAAGTAAAATAAAGCTAAGGGACTTTGTGCGATGCGAAGAACGATTCGTCAAAAATTTAAAAATGTAATGCGCGAGCCTTATTAATGAGGTTGTGTAACCCACCACACTAAATTAGTCTGTAAATAAGTACAGATTTGTTTCAGCCTT